TTCTTCCTGTGGGACAGGTTTGAAGTTGATGAGTGGGAGTGCACAACTGCAAAGACTTATTTTATGTACCTTCAACCATTATCACCCCCTTTTGAGAACATTCTTATTTTCTTTCCTAAAGCTTTATTTTTAGGTTTTGGAACTAAGGTTTGAAACCTGGGAAATCACAATGGTGGTTTTATTTTTCTCAGGTCATATTGATTCCCTTATGTCTTCTGTCTGGGAAAATAAAGTAAAATGATCATTTTTCCTTCTGTTTTTGAAAATTCATTCTTTATTAATTAGTAGCATTATAGATATATTACCTTTATGAAATAATTAATTTGTTCAGACAGAAGCATATAATGCTAGTAGGAACTTTGGAGAACATTTAGTACAATGTCTTTGTTTTAACAAATCAGAAAAATCAGGTTAAGAGCATTTGTATCATATGTTCAGACTTAAATAGCTCTTTATTGGTGGCTAGGATTTTACCTCAGGATTCGTCCTGGCACAAAATTCAACATTTTTCCTACTATTTCATGTGCTATTAAATAGTTTTCTGTTTGAAAAATTGTTTAAAGCATAAAGCTGTATGAAGTGGCATACACCTCTAATCCTAGCTACTCCAGAAGCTGAAGCAGGAGGACTACAAGTTCCAGGCCAGGCTGGGCAACTTAGCAAGACCTATCTCAAAATAAAAATTTTAAAAGCCTGGGGGCATAGCTCAGTGGTAGAATACCCCTTGGTTAAATATTCATTACCCATCCCCAATGAAGTCAATATATCATAAGAGAAATATATACTTATATAGATATTCAGAATTATAATCTTTTGTATGTATATGTGTGTGTCTGCATATCCATAACATTGATCCACCTAATGAACATACAGACACAGGAAACCTGGGTAATTTAAATCTGAAGTGAAGGGAAAAGTTATTTTGGTGGGGAGTGTTTTTTTTTCCCACTTTCTAGTCAGAATTTCAATAGCAAATAAGGAAGTATGAATCAAGTATCATAATCCATTAGCTGAGTGACAGATAGCATATTACATATTTCTTTTTATTTTTCAATGAAACAGTGATTATAAAAGTGCTTCAGTGGCTGTTGTGTGAGCATAATCAACTCTTGAATGCTGTTTCTTGTTACCGTTTCAGTTTTGCTGTAGAGAGTTTCGTTGTTTTGAATTATGTGGATTTCCCATGTATTGACTGAATAAAGATGGATGAATTTGATGTAAAGAGCTACCATAGAAAATTAGCCCTGATTCAAGAGTTCATCCCACACAGCAGAATAAGGGTAGATGTGATTGAGTGACTACCATCCTCACTCCCACTCTGTCCTGGAAGAAAGCAGAAAGGCTTGCCACTGATATGTGGCAATGGCATCTGCAGGGAGCTTGTGGAAATCCATAATCTAAGACCTACTAGTCAAGATCTGCATTTTAACAGGATCCCCAGGTGATTCACGTGCATGTTAGAATGTGAGAGGCCTGCTTTATTAATTGCATAGAGGTACCCATCATTAACTTTGGTTTTGAAATCTGTCAGGCAGAAAAGTACTGTTCTCTAATATTGCCTTTGTGCTTTCATTTAGCAAATATTGCTGAACTACACTAGGTGTCAAGCTCTGTCTAAGGGATGAAAGATATTTAAGACATACTGCCTGCTCACCAAATGGGAGAGATGAATAAAACTAATGATTATAGTGCAGTGTGGTAGGCCCAACAATAGATATCTATAAGTTATTTCTATGCTTCCACATGTTCCCAGCTTACTCTGGGCAGACAGGGAGGAGGGAGGATCACATAAAGCTTGCTGGGTGGAATCCTAAAGATTAAGTAGGAGAGTTTCAGTTTTCTATTGTTGAATAATGAATTGACACAAACTTAGCAGCTTGAAACACTCATTTATTTTATTCCAGTTTCTGGGAAGTCCAGGCATAGCTTATCTTGCTTAGAGTCTGAGGGTGAAATCAGTGGTAGTGAGGCTGACTTCCAGTTTGGGGTTCGGTATCCACATCTAGGTTCCTGTGCTTGTTGGCCGATTCCGTTTCTTGTGACTCTAGTACCCAGATCCCTGTTTCCTTTCTAAATGTTAAGCAGAGGCCACTGTCTGTCATATTCTAGAGGCTACCACAGTTCTCAGAGACCCTCTAATAGCATAGTGGGCTTGTATCACAGGAATTTGATGGAAGAAAATAGAAATTCACTGATGGTTGTGTTGGTGAGTCTGAGAGTGGCCCAGCTGGTGTGGAGTTTGTAGAATGAGGCAGGCAGTGGTGGATAGGGACTTCAGGGAGGTGGCAGTGAAGGCTGCACATGGCATGGAGAGACACAAGTAGGACACTCAAAGAAGGGCCTAGGGTGTGCAGGGAGGATGGGAGAGTGCAGTGACATGTCCATCTAGGGAGGAGGGGCAGCCAGATAAGCACATTCTGACACTCTGTTGCCAGTCATTCAATACAGGGAGACCCTGATCAACACTGGACATTGTGACTTATTCACACTTTCAAAGACCACTGCAGTTCTTGGCATATAGTAATTTCCCAGAAATATTTTTTGAAATGAGTAATTGATTCAGTTAGGATTTCAAGATCTTGCTTACTTCCCCCTCAGAATGCTTCTTTCATGAGAGATTTTGTAATTTGTGCTGTGCTTTTTTAGGTGGTAAACAAAAGTAGCCAGGCTAGGCTGGTTTAGTTTTTATGAAGTCCCTGATACATTCTTTGCAATTTGAAAACTGGCAAAATAACTGTGATGGTTACCATTAATTGAGAGTCTGCCATGTCCATGTATTGTTAGAAGGACTTTACTTGGGTCGCTAATCCTTAAACAGTCTTGTAAAGGAGATGTTATTAATCTCCAAGTCACAGATTAGGAAACTATGGAGGATAAATAAATATTTTGCTCAACATCATCCAGCTAGTAAGGGGTGGAGTTGGTATTTGAACCTTTGGCTGTCGGACCCAAAAAATTGTACAGAAAAAGAACTCTCTTATTCTGTACAAAGTACTAGGTAGCCTAAGAAGCATATGAAAATATAAGGCTTTGGCAATTAAAATACTATAGTACTGGAACATGAATTGACTGACAGTCTGAAGAGACAGGTCAGAAAGCCAGAAATAGCATTGAATGTACTTGGGAGTTCAGTGTGAAATGCACTGATCTTAGACTGATGGCAGAAAGAAGATATTAAGTAAGTGGTGTTGGGTCAAGTGGGGAGCTATCTATGCTAAAGTCTGTTGTTTTTACTTCATATCCTGACTCTACCTATCAAAGATTTAACTATAAGACATGAACCACAGTGTAGTGGTCATAAGCAAAAGGGGAAAGATTTTATAATCTCGGCATGGAAAGGCTTGTTTTACTTTTACTCAAATCTACAAGCCATGAAAGAAAAGTTTGATAATTTCTTAAAACAAACAACAAATATTCTGCATTGATATTAAAAAATGCCATAAGGAAAATGAAAAAAAAGAACTTACATACTAGGAAAATAAGTAATTTATATCATATCATAGACAAAGGACTCATCTTTCTGATTTATCAAGACCAGAAGTTGGGTAATCATTTCAACAGAAACATAGAACAATGATAAAAAGAGATATTGTATAGAAAAGGAAATACAAATGCTTTTAATATATAATGTGATCTTCAACCTCTGCATAATGAAGCAAATGCAAATGACAGCTATAATGAAATTTCAGTTTTGACCTGTCATCTTGTTAAAAAATCCCAGACTTTGATAACACACCCTATTTACATGACTGTGGGGAAATACACACCGATCAAGCTTGTCACCCATGAAGTGGAGCTTCCGAGGTGTGGTTTGACTTGATATTATCTAGCAACATAGAGATGCGTGTCTCCTTTGACATGGCAGTGCCACTCTGCAGTCACTCTACAGATAACCTGGCATGTGCACAAAACTGCACATATTCAGATTTTCCACCGAAATAGTGTATAATTGAAAAAGAAAAAAAATGACTGGTTACACCCTAAACTGGTTACATCTAAAGTAAACCCTGACATATCTATTTATACCATGCAGGTATTAGACAAGAATGAAAACACCTCTTGTAAGTCTGCCTGGGAGGGAAATATCACTCAGGTATTTTAAGTAAAAAGACAGGTAGAAAACAATACTATGAAATGTTATCTTTTGTGTATTATGGCAAGAAAATGAGGATATATATTTATGTTTCATTGTATTTTTATGAAGAAAACTTACCAATGATATATTATAAACCAATCACAATGATTATGAGAGTAGGAATATTAAGAATTGGTCAGATGTGGGAGGGTGGGGGAACATTTTCACTATATCTTCTGTATGTATAATATTATCTGTGTACCTATTTATAACTATATCTTGAACCACATGAACTCAAAAAACAAAATAAATTAGTAAAATAAATTAGAAAAATAAGCTTCAGGAGCTGTGGTCAGTGTGTTCTGCCTGGTGGGGCACTTGACCTAGAGATGGGTTCTATGACATGCTTATTGCTTATGCTTATCCTGTTTGCCATACCTGAACTGTGGCTTCTTTGCAGGAAACTTTGAAGTCACTTTTCCTTTCTGCAAAGGACATTGTCATAGATATTATAATCATAACAGAGCACTATAAAAGTGCAGTAGGCTCTGATAGGGTAAAAGCAAAGAAGGATGGAGAGCTTGACTTGGGCTGAGAACAAGTCTCTTCTGTCATTTACCTCCAGTGTGGCTGTCTGGTCCAGGGACCCAGTTTGTGAGGACATCTATGTCCACTTCCATATTAGCTGCTGTTGAGGTAAACTTTCTCTTGTATTTTAGCCAATGAACAATTAAGACAGTAGTAAAGGATTCCTCCCATGACCATGTGGATTGTTGCATACGACCCTGCACCCAGAAAGTACTGGCTACTGTGTATTGTCCCCTCACTAACAGAGATCTTCATGGCTTTGCTTCCTGAAAACAGAATCATTAGTTTCAAGCAGTTATCTAGAAATATGATCTAACCCATGTTTTCTGTTTTCCAGGAGCAAGTTGAAGAGGAGAAGCGGGGGAACGGCACAACCCTTTTGAGTCATGGTAATTATCACCATTGGTTACAGTTTTAGTGCACAATAAAATTTTTATTAGGTTGCTTTAGTTATTTTAGTCTTATTAATTTATATATATAATAGTCTTTATCCCATTTATTACAACATGTTACGTATTGTTCTGCAGAATTCATCAATGCCATCTGTGATTTTCAAATATATACACGAAGAGAGTATATATTATTTCCAACTTTTCACCACATATAAATAATACCACAAGGACCAAGATATACTCAAATTAAATGTGCATTCTTATTTCATTGAGAGAAATTTCAAGAAGAGGGATTCTTTAGTTGAAGGATAAGTTTAAAACTTTGGTAAATATCACCTAAAGTCTTCCAAAACAATAAGACTGAATTCTGTTCCTTGTAGCAGTGAAGCAAAAGCCTGTCTTCCCCAGCCCTCTAGCAAGGGGAATTAGTGGTATCTCATTTACTTAGCTTTAAAAAAAACTTTAAAGAAAATTTCTAGTTTGTAAACTCTCTCTGTGAACAAGAAAATAAGAGATGCTATTTAGTTTATTTGCAACTCTTGGCTGAAGGTTTCTTCACCTTTGTTTACTCTTAAAATGATTACATTTGTACTCTTTGATGAAAACCATGCTTTAGAGGAGATGTACTTTTACTCTAAAATGAATATTCCTCATTATAGTTATTAATATATCAGTGGGTTTCAGATTTGACAGATTCTCTGAAACTTTAAATCAATAAATGAAGATGCTACTTCACTGGAATATATATTCCACATTATTTTGTAATATTTTGCATACAAGCAGAGAATTGATATTAAATTTTCTGTAAATGTAGTTTAATGTCCAGCAATATTTGTGCTATTCTCAGTGGGAAGGAGACAGATAAATTTGATAATGCTCCTCTAATAAACTTTTAGAATTACCTTAAACATTTGTTGAGTAATAAGCCTTCCATTTTATTTGTTTTTAAGTATTGAAAACATCTGAAAGTACTTTGAAAAATGACAAACAGTAATTTAAATTTTAAAAGACCACCTTATATTTCTTAGCCCTGGAACATATTAAAAATTTGTGACCTACCACCTAAATGATACTTAAAATAAAGTTGTTTTCTATTACAACCAAACACTGTATGCTATTTTAAATTTCTTGTCTTCTCTGGCTGCCACCCCAGGCCTGTCATGTTCTTTGCTGAAAAAGCAAAATAGGATGCAGTAGTTTGATAATTACGTAACTTGATGTTTAGCTCTTTTGAAATATACTTCAGTTATGCAACACTGGAATTTTAGAAATAAATTTGGACTGTACCTTGCCCTAATGGTAGGGACTTTTTTAAATAATTTTTTTCTTCTCAGAAAAAGGTGGTGATTTACGATGTTGTTGTCTCCCATGCATCTGTATTTTAACATTATTGTAAGTTGTTTTAGGTTCTTTTATTTTGTGGTTGAAGCATTCACTGTAGAAAAAAAAGATCAGACTTAGGTCAATAATGTTCAGTTACCAAACAAAGAGTCTTTAATATTTATAATTTCACTCTATCCTGACATATGTTTATCTTAGTGTTTCATTTTAGTAGAAGCTACTTTTTCCTGTTCTTTTATTGGAGATTGGTCCATAATAGATTAAAGGAATCAGATAAGGTAATCAGATTCACCAAGATCTTAATCAAAACCAGGCAAAGTACTCAGTTTCACTGAAATGTAAAAAAATACAAATTCAAAAGTAGTGATGATATTTTGGACCTTCCAGATGAACAATAATTAAAAAAAAAATTTAAGTATATCTCCTTGTGGCACTATTTATAAATGGTGAAAAGTTGTAAATAATCTAAAGGTTAAACATATTTAGAATATAGGTAAAACACTTTGGCACAATTTTATATAGAAAAATATGTCATCTAAATGCCTTGGAAGAAATTTAAATTACATGAGAGGAAAAGATTATAATAAGATATTGAGGGGAAAAATTCCCATGATATTAGTCAGAATGATGGCCAAAATTAACACATATTCATAGGAGAAATGAAAAAGATGTTAACAATAGCTATTTTAAGTAGTGAGAAAAAAAGTATATTTCCTGAGGGGTTTTTTTTTTTTTTTTTTTTTGCAATTAGTTTGTAATCATGTTACAATAAGACAAATACTCTTAAAAGTAAATTTAGAGACTCCTGAACACTAAAAACTTTAATTTCTGGAATTGAGTATATTGTTGGAAAATCTGTTGTTTGATTTTTCTTTTTTAAATAAGTGTTTTGTTTTGGAATAATTTTAGATTTACAGAAAAGTTGCAAAGACAGTTCAGCAGTAATTACTGTGTACTCCTCAGCTAGTTTCTCCCTACATTTAACAACTTATATGACCCTGGAATTTCTGTCAGAACTAAGAATTAATATCAGTGTATCACTCTTCACTAAACTGCAGACTTTATTCAGATATCACCAGTTTTTCAACCTACTTTCTGTTCCAGGATTCAGTCTAGAATATCACTTTGACTTATTGTCCATGGTTTCTTTTACTGTGTTCTTATCTTCTCTTGTGGCCAGAAGTTGCCAGTAGCATCTGAGTTTCTGGAAAGCTACAGTGTTTCCTTACATGCTACCTAGCCTCCCTTTGCTCTGCTCCAGTCTTCCAGAACATGCAGTGTAGAACTTACTTTTGAAGAAACACTTTTCTGCTCTGAGGGTCTTTCTTCAGACTGGCTCCTTCAAAACCTCATTATATTCTCTACTTTTCTTATTTTATATATTTTTCCCTACTCTATTTTTTTTTCCTTAGCATATCTCGGGGCACTTGTTTTCCAAAAAAATTCAGTTACCTAATTTTTCATATCTTCTACTTAAGTTAMGTATATCTGTTCAGGCCAATCAAGCCAAAAGGACCTATTATTTTGTACACTGAGGTAATAATTTACTAGAACTCTGAAGAATTAATTAGCTAAACGTCCTGAAGAAGAATTAGCACAGCTTCCAGAAGTGCTTAACTTACTTTCAGAGAGTGGTTAGTGTTAGTGCTCATTACGTGATTCTAAAAGCTTCAGAGATGGACTGACCTTTGAATATTATCCTAGAGTCTTTTGTTCTGGTAGCCAGCTTACTTCCTAGGTGTAACAGCAGAGGTACTGTTCTTACAAAATAATTATATCCCAGTGGAACTAATGCCTGCATTTTCTAAGCTTTGTGAGAGGTCTGTTTTCTTCCACTAAGGCAGTTGTTTTCCTAAAAGTAAATTTAGAGTAAATTTCTTAAAAGTAAATTTAAGGAAAAAGGAAAACCAAATCCATTTCACTTCACTCAATTTCTAGTAATATAGATGGCCCTATTATTAAATAAACAATTAAATATTTAGGCACTTGGCTACTTTGAACCTAAAGAATTCCATGTTCACTAGTCCATGAAGCTATCATGGGAGGATAAACAGGGAATACTTTCTAAATAATGAACTTCTTGTGGGGGCATTGTAATAATTGAAGCATTTGTGTGCACTTAATGAAAATGCTACTGTAATAAATAGTCTCCAGGGCATATTTTTAAGTCATTTGTTTACTTTCGATTCTAGCTTATATAAATGGTTCATCTTTGAACCTAATTGATCTCCCTTATGGCATCCTGCCACTTCTTGGTGAATGGTGGCACTGTGAATTCAGAACCTGACAAAGGGAAGGAACACATCTGTTTTCCTCTTGAAGTTAGAAGTGATCAATGCGTAAAACTGGATAAGGCACATGTATTTATAACACTTGTTTTATGAAGGCAGCTTTTATAGGCTACATAGAATTCATTAATACATGAAAGTTAAAATCATGTTAGAATTTTTCCCTCATTGAAGAAATTCTGTGAAGCTTTCCGATTAGTCATAATTGTAAGCCATCCTACAGAGCAACCCTTCCAAAGGCAGCACTAAGACTCTGCCACATGTGTGATTAGAGGTCCCTCATGGATAAAGGTATTGAACTCTAGAAAAGGACTGAATCCTTGATGCTTGGTGTGATTTAGCAAAAGGGAATGTCACAGTGCAGTGGAGGGAATGTTCTAGTGGAGACACTTTTGAGGCCTTTGAGTTGCAGGCAGGGCCTTGTGACAGCCTCTTTCTCTTGCCTGAGTCAGCCCCCCATCTTCCTTTTGCAGATCTTGCTCATTCTCTTGCTAAAGACAAAAGCTTCTGTTTCATTTGGAGCCTGAGTGAAGGATTCTTTCCACTAACATGCTTTGCTCTTTTAAAGCATATTTAATTATTGTTTGGCATAATTACCTTTTGTGTCTTAGATTAAAGCTGCTCCTTTGAAGGCTTTTAATGTTCATTTAGACCTAAACTTTTTCACTTGAAATATTTGGAACATGGGCTTATTTTCTGACATGCCTATTTTAGATGACTTCTCATCTCCCTATACTCTCTTGGTTTCTAGAGTGAATGCATTCTTCTTTTTTAGCATATATTTTTAAAAGTTGTGAAACTATCAAACTTATAAAAATGTAGGAAGTATAGTATAAAGAAAATTTTCCTCTTAACTTACTAATAAGTAAGTTGCCAACCCCATACTCATCAACCCTAATTCTTTATTATATTCCTACAAAGAAAAACATGCTCTTAAAAAATAGGAGATCTCCATTGATCCATTCCTGCCAGGCCTCCAAGCTTCAGACGCCATTCAGGTTTCACCAGTCATCCCAGGAATGTCCTTTAAGTGAAAGGATCAGTTTAGAATCATGCTGTGCATAGAGTTGTCCTGTGTCTCCAGGCTACTTAGTTCTGAACACTTTCTTAACTGTTCCTGAACTTTCATGACCTTGACACTTTCTAGAGCACAGGCCAGTTATTTTGCAAAATGTCCCCCAGCTTGGATTTGTCTGATATTCCTTCTATATTACATTCAGGTCATCATCTACCTTTGGGGGAAATATCACAGAAGTTATGCTTTTTTAGGGTCCTTATTGCATTCTGTCAAGTGGCACATAGTTTTGATTTGTCTTGTTTTGGATGATAAGTTTGATCTCTTGCTTCAGTTGGTATCTTGTTAGATTT